GCCAATAAATATTTGCTCGTGTCAGTCTAATGCTTTGTTCAAAAGTCTTCTCAAAACACATCTGTTGTTGGCTGCTTTTTTAGTTTGTCTTGCTTGCTCGCTTAATTTGTTTTAGTTAGGCAACCCCATTACTTGAGCACCTAGTTATGAATAGGCCGGCCCCTGTTCCTCAAATTACCTGTAAACGGTGTAGTGATGGTATGGAGTTTCGGGTAGCTTTTAGGTTCACGGTATTTTTTGGTTCCTTCCTGCTGTAGCGCATTGAGCACTACTACAGTGGATTTGTGCGCTTTTATTTATCATTATTTCTTCACGACAAAAACAACTTTGCCTTTAAGCCTCAAAGTGAGACTAGTCCAAGATGCTCTACATAATGTAGAGTATCTTGTGTGTATGTTTTCCTTGTGAAGGGATTAATATTAGTAATATTTTTATAGTAACGTGACGTGATTTATAATACATCGAAAGAGAAACAACAAATTGGCGATTATATTATAATGATCGTTATAGTCATATGCCTATACCTTCTTCAACCTTCGCCCACTTCCTGAATCAGCAAAGCGTACTACCGATAGACTACTTTTGCGGTTCAAAAGCTAAGACATTTTTAATGTTTACGCTTCCCTTTCTTTGCGTTTATATTTACATAAACTTGGTCATCTTTTTTTCTTAAATCTTGATACGTTTGTTTTTCTGTTGTCAGCTCGCCTCCATACTCCATGTAGGTCTACCAAAATAAAAATAAAAAATACTACTGATAGGTCTGGTCTGCCGTTATTTAATTTAAATTATCAATCAATATATGGCCTATTATACCGTATACTAATTTATTTTTGAGCAAGTGATTAATAACACGCCTTCCGTATTTTCTTGAGATACCAGTCAATATTATAGTGCGGTATCATTCTTTGCTGTGCGGGTACAATTCAGAAATTTGACCATATCAACTCTTATTGAATAGTATAGTTTCTGTACTTACCACCTCCACTTGATTTCCATTCGTTGTTCCTTGTGTTGCCTTTAAGATAAAATAATGAATGAGTATTAATGTGTGTTGTTTTTTTTTTTTTTTTTTTTTTTTTTTTTTTTTTTTGTAGCTTACTTATACTACAGAATAAAACCAAGCTACGCCTATACATTATTCTGTTATCATTAAAGTCTCTATCAATTTTAGCTGTTAGAAATCATATGATGGCCTATAACAGGGGTCACGAGGCTCGGGCGAGAACTTGTTGGGGGCCCATGCAGTAATCGAAGTAATCGAGTGTCACGAATGCTACCAATGCCTTCACGGTACAATACTGTATCAACAATGCGTATACTGAACTAAGTAATTTGATTCGTAGGCCTATATTAAATCTGTGAATTGTAGTAAAGTAGTCCTCTCATCATTATTTACCTAAATTTTAGTTGTAGTGTAGCACGACTGTTGAATATCTTCTTTGATTCGGAAATTGATATTACCAAAGAAGTATTTTCACGTGAGTCCATTGGGAACTTCGTGCGTTAAAGACCATGAGTTTATACAATTTTTAGTTGCTATTTGTGGGTGTTTTCTACTAAACGGTAATGCCAAGGCTTTGTTCCTATTAGATGAGTTCTGTGAAGTCTTTAGTAAAGTCCCCCGGGGCCCCTATGGAATGGTCCAGGGTTCGCTCCCCGAGAGCACATATAAAGTGTTACGTCAGTTATACCTTCCTAATATTTTTTCCTCCGCTGTATATACGAACCACTATATATATATATAGTGGTTCCTGTTATATGATTTTTCTTTTTTCACTGTTTAACCACTATTAAATTATGTCTAACAGACTCAAAATATTGGTATATTATTCATAACAAATCTCTTATTACCTTCGGTTTATTTTTTACTTTCCAGAGGATAATAGATACAGACGACGACAGTACGGTTCCGATGAAAATACCAAGAAAAATCATTCCAACAACGAGAGGGGTGACAGATCCTGCCGAGGTTTTACACTCTAAAGAATATCGTAATAATTAATAAGTTTATAAATTATTATAAATTTAATTTATACTTCCAATTTATTAAAGAAATATCGTATCTTAAAAGTATAATTAGGTCTATATACAAAGTGTACAAATATATCCTTGGGAGTGGTTTGGCGCAGCGGGAACGGTTAGGTTTCCTAACCTCGAGGTCGGGGTGTCAATCCCTCACTCTGCATTTTATTTACCGGTATGTCCTTGGTCAAGGCGCTTTCTCTGCATTGCTTCCCGCCACCCAGGAGTATAAGTGGGTACCTGGTAGGGTTAAATGCCAAAATGCGCTGATGTAGCTGCTGCAACGTTATGGAATACTCCCACAGGAAGCTTGAGTTTGTGTTTCATAATGACCGGCTTAACAATATGCACTATAAGTGTACCATTATTATATTATTATTATTATTATTATTATTATTATTATTATTATTATTATTATTATTATTATTATTATTATTATTATTATCGTCGATGACATACCTAGTGCAGCTGGAGTACTTGTTGATACAGGAACCAATCCTACTTGCAAAAAAAAAATACAAGGTTACATTAAAATAATATATATTAAAGTAAAATCAATCGGTTGCGGTTAATACAACATTATGTAATAATATAAAACACCTAAATATATCCTCGTCATTTGATTGGTAAATTTATTATCACGTGACATTGGATATTTACACCATTTATTAGCAAACCAATCAATTTTTCCATTTTTCATGTAATATATGACTTCATTTCCATCATCTTTGTTCCATTTTGTTGGGACGCCTCCATCTAATAATGTCTTCATTCCGTGAAAGAAGGGGGATGGTTCCATTCAGTAGAAAGGTAGACCTAACTTTATTTTTCATATATCAAATGGCAAAAATGTACTTTAGAATAACACTATAAACGAATGCCAATATTTGTGCAATGGAAAGTATATTTTCATTTGTTGAAAGACATTAAGTTTGCTAATGGTATATTCTCTGT